TATATATATATAGTTAAACTTTTGAACTTTGTCAGATGACATTGGACTGCGTGAAGACAGCATGACAAAATGATTCACCGAAGCATCAATAGATAACAATCTGCCATTTCCTCGGCTCTGCTCTATTTTTACATTGTGACTATTACTATGTTTGTGAGGGTTATATGGCAGCAGGCATTTTTATTATTACATAGGAATTATATAACGCCAATAGTTTGCTCAGCGCTTTACAATATAAGGAAGACATTACAATCACACTACAATTCACGACAAGATGGTAAGGAGGGCCCTGCCCCTGAGGGCTTACAATCTAAAAGGGAGGGGCAAGTGATACATGAAGAGGGAGCTGTGTGGGGATGAATTGTTTGAGAATATGATGGTTCAGTGGTTAGGTTGAGGTGGGATTTACATATCAGAGTTTTTATTTGAAGCTGATAGTGAAATCTATAGAATCGGGGACTTCCTGGAAGAGCATGTGGCCGGACGTTAACAGTGGGGAAGAATGCAGCTGATCATTACTTAATCGTGAACTGGATTGCAGAGATCAGGTCGAGAACATAAAAGTTCTTTAGACTTCACAGATGTAACATATATGACTTCATTTAAAACCAGCACATGATCTGCAGGCTTTGTAATTTGAACTTTCATGTCCAGTTATATAGTTTAGAATCTTCTTTTCTAACGTGTTGGATGGGTTCTCCATGTTTTGACAGGTATACAAGAATTCTGCAAATGCTCCTTTTTGTCTTTATTAGGCCCCTTGCACATGGGCGCCTGTCAGCCCCGATCAGCCGGGGGATCCACGCATGGATCCCCGGCTGATCGGAATAGAATGGAACAAATGTCACCATTGTGATTTGAATCTCCCTCCATTTTCTTTCCTCCATATTTCGATGAAGGAAAAAACTGAGCTGTACAGACCCATGTTAGATCTATGGGAAGACGGATGTAGGCGCACATGTGTCTGTTTACATGAGATCACCTTTGATCCGTCACAATCGGGTCTTTCAAAACGAAACTCTGTTACCTTTGGTTTTCTGGACTTGGATGGAGTCGAGGGTAATCAGATGTAAACAGAGACACGTTCATTTAGATCTGGCTATATAGACTAAGATTTGGCTTCTGATCAGAAACCTCATTGGAGATAAATTAGATAGATAAAGATGCAGACAAACTGAGCCTATTGCCCCTGACATAGTACATAATGATATTGCATGTTTCAGTAGATGTGAAGTGTCACAGCTCAACGGAGCTTATGTTATCAGGTTTGCCAGCTTCATATAGTAACCTGTAGGATTTCACCGTCAGTCAGCACTATACTGTGCAATCTTTACTTACACTGAGTGGCCAGTTTATTATGACCACCTGACGTTTGTAGGCAAATTAGCTATAATTTCACGCTGAAATTGCTAGAGCGCCAGACCATTATAAATAGGGAAGCAGGTTGTTTACCACGACAGTAGAAGTGATTTTTTTCTGAAGATATGGGTAAACAACGCGATTTAACAGCCTTTGAACGTGGGATGATTGTTGGCGCTCGGAGCCATGGAGCGAGCATCAGCAAAACAGCAGAATTCGTAAAAATGTTCAAGAGCAGCTATTGTTAAAGTGTTTAAAGACTGGACTGTTAGCCGAAAATCTGGGTCTGAACGTGCGAATTGTGGCCGTCAGCGTCTAGTCAATGTTAGGGCAGAACGTAGAGTGGCAAGACTGGTACAAGACAACAGAAGGGCAACAGTGCAGTGTCGGATTCCTCGCATCACCTTTCAACATCTCGTGGAGTCACGAGGCGGCCCAACAAAGTACTGATGGGGTGGACATAATAATCTGGCCACTCAGTGTATATGAGCATGGCCTCTGTCACACAATGTGTTCATATTTTAATGTGTTATTAATACAATGTCACTAGAGGGACTATAAAAAAACAAGACCTTACTGCAGGGGACAAATTATTATTGAATTCAGGAGCCAGTCTGTCCAATCCAGGAGCCAGCAGGACATTGCCAACAACTGGAGAACACCTCAAAAGTTAGACACCGGCTGTAATTTTTAAGGAGCATTGCATACCTGGCTCCTGGCATTTGTCCAGCCCTCTCTTACTGTATTTAAGAAAGTCCAGTGTTTTAGTGTGGCCATATATATCCGGATCATAGCAAGTGATGCCCTTGTTTTTGAAAACTGCATAAAATCAAAAATTGGGCTGTTACTTTGTTCCAAGTTGCTAAAGCCTTAGGTGGCTGGAGGTGCTCATTATCACACACAGATAGTTGTGTGTAAATGTCTGTATTTTTGCTGCTCTCAGCTTCGGCTCCATACCCAGGCTGGCTCTGATGACGGGCAGATATCTCCCACCAGTCTCTGAATTTGCCTATCTATGGTCATAAACACTGAGGCTTTCAATCATTTATTTTGAGCAGTAAATACATGTTTATTTTCATACTACTATACCTCTACTCCTATAACTGGGTTCTGGTTTATAAAGCAGCACTCTTTAAATCTATACTTGGGTTCTTTCTTTCAGCATAAGCCCGGTATTTTAAAGTGAGGTGGGAAGACTGCACAGCTCAGAGAATATGGAGAATGGAGGGAAGATCAATAAAGACCAGGAAGATGAGATGGTAAGTAATGTCTTTTTGCCCCTTGTAGTGCTTCATGTAGTTTTGCCATTTATCTGGGAATTGAAAAAATTCAGTGCAAGGGTTTAAGTGATTGTCTTCTCTAGGGGGCTAAAATAAAGAAGATATACTCACATGATGCTTGCGGTTGGCACTTACCTCTCTACCCCACAGCAGCAGCACCTCGGCATCCTCACGTCTAATGCAAGTCAATGAACCAGCAATAGACATGATGACGCCAGCGTTCCTTAGACTGCCAGAGTCCAGGGTAGAAGGGGTTTGTGGGGACCGGTCTAGCAGCTTGGCGGGACCAAGGATTGGACGAGTATATTTGAGCCCCCTAAAACAAAACAAGCATTTAAAGGAGAACTATGGGGTTAGGGCTTTTCCTCATAGTTCTCCTTAGGGTAACGGGAGGACGCAAACTAGTATCCTCCCGTCACCCTAAGCTCAGTATACCGCGAGCTACAACTTGCGGTATACTGAGACGCCGCAGTATACCGCAAGTTGCTTGCGGTATACTGAGACGCCGCAGCTGAAGCGGATCCCGACAATTATGTGGCACAGCCTCTTTGTCAAGCCGCTATTGCAGTGAGAGCCTTCAGCCCTCCACCACCTTGCACGTTTCTTCCTGTTGATGACGAGTCGCACCGCCATAGGCGACTCTATAAAAGCTTTTACCACTCATCAGTTTAGTGTTAGCAGTGATTGATGGCCCTAGACCAGCCGGACCAAACCCGTGGTACACACGGTGCCAATTACGCCACGCTACAGCCGTTCGCGGCTCCTCTGCCTTCCTAAGCCGCCGCTGCTCGGCCTGGCCAGCCAAATACGCGTGCTGCAAAACCGCTTCATAACGCCCCCAGACCTGTCACTCTCCACCCTGGGAGCCATCCATCCTTTGACCCTAGCTCCTCCCCCAGGCAGCAGACACTCAGGTGTCAGGACATCTGCTGACATACCAGCCATCTTCCAACTGTAAGTTCCATTGTCCTGTCTTTACATACCACAAGTCATCAGTTTCTTAGGGTAGTAGCGCTCCTACAGTTTGTTTGATCTTGTAAGATTATGCAGTATATAGATGAGATTTCCCCAAAATGCCCTGTGATGTAACCTTCCCATGATGCATCTGTTTGGCCAGGGATTCATCACGAATGCCTAAGAGGACTAGGAAGTGTAAAGTAAATGCAAAGTAGTTGTTTAACTATTGAATGTAAGATTTCATATCAGCAGTCAGAGCTGCACGCTAATGTGATTTTTCGTGAAAGGGGGCAAAGGTCCACTTTAACCCACAGGATATAAGAAGGAAGTCAGTGACTCAAAGTTCGGGTCTCAAACCAAAGCTGAAGAATCAGTTTTAATAGGCTTGCTCTTTTAAAAATATTCCATCGTTCATTATATTTGCTTATTCTAGGCTTAACCAAAAAAAAAATGTTTACTATTCAATTTGTTCCGTTTTTATATGAATCTTGCTTGACATTACTGCCATAAACAGAACTTCAAAAGCCCTTTCAGCACTTGGTGACCCTCAAAACACTATCAAGGGAATTTATAACAACTGGAGCAGACAAAATCTGGAGTAGCTGCGCATGGCAACCAATCAGCTTCTCTCTTTTAATTTTCAAGTCTTAACAGAACAAACTGAAGAGAGAAGCTGATTGGTTGACGTGCACATCGGCTCCAGATTTTGTCTGCTCCAGTTTAGATAAATTCCCCGCCCCCCGGTGTGTGTGAAATAAGGTATACATTTCTCTGAGATTAGTCTCCCTCTGGTGCCACAATGACAATATGAGTATGCACTGTTGTTGAAATCCAAATGATGGATTCTTGGCATGTGGTAATTGACACAGTATACTGAGAAATGCATTGAGGAAAATGAATGTCACTTGTTGAGTGCACGCAGTTTGATTGTGCACGTTTGATATAAAAGGATATCCTGCAATTAGACCCAATTTACATTACATGTGAGAGATGGAGAGGCTTCCACTTATAGTACAAAGCATTTCCTGGACATAAATGGGGATATTTTAAGCCTCTGGCTTTTTATGTTTTTATTTTTTTTTCACCTGTGGTTTAAAATTAGCATCTAGCTGATTTATAGGCCAGAAGTACAGCAGCTCACTACGCAGTGTATCCTCAGCTGTAGTCATACAGGCTACTTAGTGATGGCTGGAGTTAAGTTGGGGAGGGAATGAGTAAGGGACTACTAAGTGCTCATCTTTCACTTGCTATGGCAAGCATGTCCTCAAAGTAAGGTCAGGTTGGCTGTGCCTTGGAGCAGCAGAGGAGTTTGGGGTAATGGTTTACTGTTTGCTATAGTGTCATCTGGATTATAAAATGTGTATAGCGTATGTCAACCCGTTCAATGAACTTATGTTATTTGCTTTCTTTTGGTTTGTTAGATATACTATTGAAAACATTTGTTAATTCTGTCAATCTGAAGAAGTCCAATTAGCCCTCCTAGTTCCTTGCTTGGACTACAGAATAAGAAGTCTTTTATGTTGCAGAAAGTAGGATAGGAGGACAGTTTGAATAGTTTTTCAAAATAAAATTGGGCATGGCTGACACCAATCAGTTAAAGGGTTATGAAACCCTTGCATGTTTTTGCATATATCTAGTGCTAGCAAGCAGTAGATATATGCAAAACGATTAAAAAAAAAAACTTTTTCAAAGGGTTAATACTTACCTGTGTCTCCGCCGCGCACTCCCGTCCAAAAGGCTCAGACAGAGCATCATTAAAGCTTTTGGTCCCAAGGATTGGGTTGCACAATTTTTTGTTAAGGAACACTCTATTCGATTGGTGAGCACTTTTTTGACATGAGCCAACTATTTCCCAGAATTTCAAGGCTTCCACTTGATCTGGTCACATGTTCTCCGAGTTTTACCTAGTGTTTATTCTGGCTTCTTCTCATACAGGTTAGGTGTAAGGTCCTTCAGGCGCCTTTCACATGCAGGTAGTCTCCAGGTTTTTTTTTGTGGGCCTGTTATGTTGCCCAACTGCCACTTGGACTGGTTTCAGACATCCCAACAGTTTATGAAGTTTCGTGTCCCTCATTAAAAGCTAAAGAAACTACTATCCTTACTGAAAATACATGTATTTTTGTCCAAATCCTCCTGTATAAACCCAACCGTTTATGAATCCACATGTTCCTCAATGACGTACAAGAAACAGATTTGACTGTAAGCACAACAATCACATTTAACACTAATGGGAATCAGTTGATTTTATTTGTTTACACTTTTACTTGCTTGAAAATTTGGACAAACGTTTCTTTGAAGGAAAAAAAAAGTGGGAGGTGACTTGTTTGTCCTTCAATGTCCACTTGTAAGTGCAATTCCCTAACAGTTTTTCTGTGTGTTTTTATCTTGTAGGAAATTAATGGTTACAATCTGTGCCGGTGGAAGCTGGCTCTGGTAGCGGTAGGAGTACTGCTTACTGGTGGCTTCCTGCTGCTCCTTCTCTACTGGCTGCCTAAATGGCGCGTGAAGGCAACGTGCTCTAGAAGGACGTTGAAAGATTGTGATGTTGTGCTAATGAGAACCACTGTAAGTATGTGAGAGGCTGGAACCGCATTGAGTTAGCTGTGTGTACATAGTAAACCTCACCTCATGTTGTCAGTACTTTTCAGGATTGACTCCCAGAAATGTGTTCTTGTGAGATTTATTTTTTTCAACCTACAAAAAAAAAAATGCAAGTTCATCAGTTACAATTATTTACAACATTGTTTACAATGACTACATAGTATAGTAATCTGTAGCAACTATCCCTAGTCAGAATTGCTGCATGTGGGTGTTCTAATCAGCCTACACTTGCCTGTGTCCTGCTACCAGGAGGCTCCATGGTGCTCCGGAATCTAATACTGGGTTCACGTGACCCAAAATTGGAATGCTTATGTCTGTTACAGCGGATGGAAAGTAGGCTCAAATGCCTCCCTGATTGTTAAAATGGGAAGCGCAGGCTTTTGTACTTACTAGGGATGCACCGATACTTTTCGAGTACCAATGCCGATACTTGGCATTTTCATGAGAACTACCAGGGTTGCAGAGGTTGCAGCTGGGACCTGGCTCTGGCGCTCCACCACTGTCCTGAAATCATTAGTCTGTATTGTTTTAGAAGAACTGTCACATGACAATAAACAAAAATGTATCAGTACTTGTAAGTACTCGGCAAGTACCAGTACTCGTACTTGCAAAACTGGTATCGGTGAATCCCTTTATTTCTATTTATAAAAACAAAATCGGACATTAATACAGCGATGTACAAATCCCAGGAGCTCCGTGTGCTCCTTACAAATGACAGCTTCCTCCTAACTTTTGAATTTTTCTCGAGTCTAGTCTTGGAGCTCAAAAGTATCGGTACATGTACTGAGTACGGTACTTGGTATCGGTGCATCCCTAGTACTTACTATTACTTCATTTTTTGATGGTTGCTCAGCTTATTGCACATAGCTGATTTATATGGATTTCTTAAATGAAGCTTCAGGATTGGATAAATCAATGAATTCGGGTAACCACTTTTTTGGAGCATTTGTATGGTCTATAAATTCACATGTTCTTTGGCTTCTTAAAATTACCTGCTGGCACTGTGACTGCGCTGAGCGGCTTGTGAATTTTACATTGATTGGTCTATTTCTAGACTCAAATCTTTTATTATAGGAAGGCTGAGACATCTTCCCTATAATGTAATAATTGCTTGGATCAACATTGTGAAATCTGTGCTAGAAAAAAAACAACCTCTGAAAGTGTGTGGAATGCTGTGGCCTTATCTAAGCCATCCAGAAATCAATTCAATCTAAAATTATGAGCATATCTTTTAACATTCAATGTATGTGTTAGGTCAAGAGAGGTTTACATAAGTATTTCATGAGGTCTCCTTCTACATAGGCACCCTATTAATTTCCTACCGGATGCACCTTCTCTGCCTGGGTCAAGGTAGCGAGTCCCCATAAACAGTTGTGCTTGCTATCAGATATGATCAGTTATGACGAGTAAAGCACTACACTGTTTAAACTGCTGGTGTTTTCTCTACATGGTTTAAATAACAACACGACTGTTGGCATGTTTAAAGCTGCCACAAAACCGCAAACTATGCCTTTGTGATTGCTTTGTAGTCTTGTGCTTTTCAGCCTTCCTCAACAAGGGTGATGAGGTTTTGGTGTTGATCCGGGGGTTGGGGGAACACACGTTGTTACTTTACATTTACGGTTTAAAATTTTAGACTAGGGGGGCCTCGAGAAACGCTGTTTTAGATGATGGTTCTCCGATCAAGTTTGGCTTACTGCTACCCCCTGTAGGTGATGAACAATACAAGCAGTCTTTTCCTCATAATTCACTTGAGGGTCGTCTTTTTTTGCCTTATGCTTGATTTTAAATTGTGAAAATCTGTTAGCATAATAACACAAAATTGCTGAGAATGTTGGTGGAAACGTTCATTAGATTGACATGTACTAATGATTTTTGTAAATTCACTGTTATCACTATTTTTGATTCCAGGATGAATTTAGACAATGGTTTTGTGCAAAAGTACGAATACGATTTTGTCCTGCAACCGACCCTCTTCAGAGTCCTGAATTCACGACAAGCAAAGTGGCCAATGGACATGCAAGCCACCTTCCTGAGAGTCCCTCTGAACAAAATGAAGATCATCCAATGAATAATGCAGCAGTCCCATCACAAGAGGTATGGCGCATTCTTTATTTATTGGGCTTGCCCCCACAGTCTTATGATCCTTGCTTTTATAACTTCTGATGTTCTATAAATAAAGAGTGTAATAATGATTCATTGCATAGGGGGGGGATACCACATCCCAATCTATATTGGAGAAAAAACGAAGAAAGGTTTGGACTTTTAGGGTACTCCAAGGGTCACAAAAGTGGTGTTTGTATAAACTATAACACATTTTTTTTATTTGAACGTATTTAAAACATATACTTTAAAATGATCTAAAAGGGAGCAAAGGATGTAGCCGCATCCTCCCACATATTATCTTGATATTACAGTACTTTTTACAATGTGCTTTGTGTCAGCTTTCTTTTCATATTGTAATCCATGGGAGGACGACAATTTCTGCGCGTTTCACGGAGATCCGACAATAGTCCTTTAACTGGCAGTGATACTGGCAGGTCCGCAAGGTTACGTTTTGTTTTTTGGACTATACCTGGATGGAGTCGGGAGTAATAGGATGTAAATGGATGCAGTTCTGTTTAGATCCAGTTGACCATAGACTAACGGGTGTCAGATCTGCTTGAAAAACTGACAGACGGACCTGATCAGGCCACCCGTCTGAAAGGATCCTAAAGGGTCTTCCCCTGTACCACTGACACTCACCCTGCCCAACACTCCCTCACCTTTTCGGCCTCCTTCACACCCTGCAGTAAGTATGTTACCGTTGGCTGGTATTGAATGCTAAGGCAAGCAGTGAAGATTTGCTCTAAAAAGTAAACGTGCTCTACTGGTTTAATGTTTATTTTGAGTAAAGTAGATGTTAGTTAAAGCTTGTATTTAAATCAGAGATGTTTCTCTTCCAATATTAGAAATATTCGGCAGAATATAAATAGAGGTAGATACCTTTCTAACCAAAGCCAACTGTAGCATAAATGTTGTTCTGCACATTCACTGGATCTCTGGTTTATTCTGTTATGAACCTTTGAAGTAATGATTTGCCCACTGTATGTGGAGCAACCGATGTGTAAACTGTTTTTAGCATTTTGACTCTTCATGACTGGGGCTCTCCTGATGGGGCTTCATTTGTTGAATAGTTTTAGGCTAAGCCAATTTTAATTGCTGGACAATTGTGAAATAAAACAACTTGTTTATTCTGTTGCATTTTGTGTAAGTATTGCTTCAACAAAAAGTATAAACTTGATATTTATGACTGCTTCTGCTTGCAATTTGTTGGTTTGTACTTCATTCAAAGGCAAAATGACCTTTCTGCATTTGTTCAACAGGTTCGTTATTTTGTTCATCACAGTGTGACTTATTTCTGGAATGATTCGCATCAAATGTTCAGCTCCTTGGCGTAAGTGTACATTGGTTTGTTGCTTATAGTGAAATCTAACTGTCTAAAACGAATAACTGCCAGTAAAAAAACATATCCACTTTCTCTACCACATCTTCTTCCTGCTTTTGATCCCCCTGCCAATCTTCTTTAGCAGATTATGATTATGCAATCTTTTATCGTTGTACCAACTATATAGTGGTGGGTCTTCCTGACTGGGTATGAATATATAGATCTGCCAGCAGTCGTGTAGTGCAGTGAACGCTTGTCTGATTGCCTACCTAAATATTCCAGTCAGTTATTCACATAGTTTTGGTAAATCTTAAAGGACATTGAAAAAAAAAAAAAAGATAATAACATGCAAATACACACATGATGTCCCTATTCTAGATACTTATCTTTTGGCAAGGTTGGGCAGGAAGTTAGAGAACAATTTCAAATGTTTTGGCTCATTCTCTTACCCATTGTAACCATTTCTCATAGAAGTTCTATTTAAACAATTACTATATTCAATGTTTGTAGGGGTCTGGATGAAGGGGTTTCCTGTTCTGCCATGCACAGTGAGCACAGCAAAGGATTAAGTAAAGAAATTCATGATTACAGGTATGTTGTTATTTAAACATCTCGGCTATCACATTAAATGTGAACTCCAGGCAAACAAATAAAGAGGTATATTAATATATACACAAGTCAATTTACCCTTAGGCCTGATTCACAACTAGGCGACAGCGTTTTTGCACGTAGAAACAATCTTTTTTTTTTTTGCGCACGTAAAATGTGCGTACATTGTCGCACGTTTTTATGAGCAGATTGTGACACATTGACTAGAATGGCAAACACACACAAAACCAACTACAACGCGCGTTTCCTATTGACTCTATGGAGACAAAACCAGCTGTAATCTGCCCAAAAGAAGCTCATGTACTTTTTCCAGCAACAGGCTGAACTGTCTAACTGAACTGTCTTCTCTGCCAATGGATTTGTAATGCTATCCAGCCACTTTAGTGAATCATGCACACATCACAGCCAGGAGGGTCACACTACATCCGGCAGAGATAAGGAATAGAGATGTGCCACCTCACTTCCTGCAGTCTGCTCGTTGGACAATGAGAGAGCAGCAAGACACTAATACCTAATAAACTCGTCAATTTACTCTGATTTCCTGTAACATGTACATGGAATGACACGTGCAAGTGAGCAGAGCCTGGTTAGCTTCTAGTGCTGCCCTTCCCTAAGTGCTCACTAATAAAGAGGACTTTACCCATATCTTTGAAATTACATCAAAGACGCCATTAGAAATGTTTAGTAATGACAATCTACAAACGCATACATACTTATAGATAACTGCCGACTTTTTGAGAGAAAAGGATTTTACGGTGAGTACAAAAATCCTATTTTTTCTTTTCCACCCCATTCGTCTCACAGTGGCCATTTTTTGCTAAGGGCGGATTAATATATCTCCCTTTACTTCCTGGAACTCTGGCACATGTGACTAGGACATGTGACCATGCACATCATCTCAGAGGAGAAAATTGCTTTTCTCTGAGATCCTGTGAGATTGCCCAGAAATGCACTGCTGATGTAATCTTCCCAGGATGCATAGCTTGGGCACAGATTACTAATGGCCAAGAGGAACAGGAAGTGGAAAAACACTAATTCTAAGTAAAATAAAAATATGTTTAATGCATGTAAGATGATTTCATATCAGCATGCAGAGCTGCATAATGATGTAATTTTTAATGAAAAGGGGTAAAGATACACTTTAACACAGTTTTATATCAAGACAAATGCAGGCTAGCGGTATGTAAAAGTACATTTCATTTTTACGTTAAAGGAGTTCAAAACTATTGTGTTTTTAAATCTGGAGATCAGCTTTTTAAATACTGAACTTTCAGAATATGTTGCCTAAATTAATGTACAGTATACTGTTTGTATATGTGTGTGTATATATATATATATGTATATATATATATATATATAT